CACAAGGGTTTCTGCAACATCCCCTATGTTGGTAAATGTAGTACATGTGTAGGAAGTAGTTTGCCGTGATTGCTATGACATTTCACAATGTCCCTCAACTTAGCCAAGTGATATGGCTGTGACCTTCCTCAAGCCACAAGGAGAGGCAAGTAAGAAATGTTGTTGTTGTTGTCAGGACAAGCTTTACAGAGTATGTAAAGTAGCTGGGCATACAACTGCTACAATCAGGAAAGTAGAACTCTGCTTAACTAAGAACCAAGACCATGAATCACCCTCTAGATATCAATACATCCAAATAGCCACACTTCCCAAAGTTCTCCACATTTGGCAATTTCATATATTGATAAAATAAATTATCTAATCTTTGTCTGCTGCCTTATTGCTTTTCCTATATTAGGATTTGCACACTGATCTCACGGCAGCAACACCAATCCTTCCACACCAAGTTTCTGTTCTAATGAAACAGATCAGTAGAAATTGCAGGGGATGGTTCTTCAATGTGCCTGGCAACCTCCTCAATTACATAAGATTTTCTTTTTATGAAAGAATACTAGAGAAGGTTTACCATTGCTTTTGTAGCCTACAACAACTGCTATTCCTTGGTTGTATTCCACTAAATACTAACAAGGGCTGATCCTGTTTAACTTCCAAGAGCAAATGGGAGCTAATACCTTCATAATTTTGAGGGAATGAGTATAGCTATGCACCTTACAAAATACATGGACAAAGGAAACCTTGAACTTGAATTTCCAATGTTCAAGTTTTCCTGATTTTTTTGTGTGTGTTAGATCTTGCCTTTCTTTCTTGCAAGGGACTTGTACTTACATGATTCCCGCGCTTTATCATTCCTTAAGAACCTTCTCACTTTGCCACTCTGACCACTTGTGCCAAAATCCCTACTAAGCTAGAGCTTCACTTAGCCTGAAACCCTCGAGCTCAAAAAACACTTGACAAGAGGATCTTGTTGCTCTTATCCTGCCAGCTAGATATCTTTGCTAAGGTCAGTTACCCCAACTCTGTTGCAGACATAGTCATAATTTTTGCAGTCCTCAGTTTCAGATAGGCTCAAGTGTGATCCAAAGAAAGGTGCCTTTTCTAGGGATCCATTCCCTACAAATTGTAACCTTCTAATATCCTTCTGCTTTTCTGGGATGACTGAGAGTGACTAGGGAAAATGCGAGTTCTATTTTGAAATCACCTTTCATTTGGAAGCCCAGCCAATTAGTGCAGCCTTTTCCCCTGATAATCCAGTGAAACAGATCGTGGATAGCCTCCTTTTTAGTTAATACCACTCCCTTCCCCTACTTTTTCCTTAGTCCCTGCACCATTTGTACTTGTCAACCCGCTCCAAAGAAAACCAGTAGGATAGACAGTGAGCAGAACAAAATAAACAGCTAAAAGAGGTGAGACACACAAGGCACCTAGTCCAGAATGACTGGGCATGTCTTAGAAGTAGCCTTCACAATAGAATACTAGGGGAAATCCTGTTACATGCCCAATCACCCTATGAAGTAAGGCTGGTGTAGACACATAAACAGGTATTCTCTGCAGCAACACTCTAGAAGAGGCTGTATGGCCATCTGCCGGGGGTACTTTGACTGTGCTTTTCCTGCATGTCAGGTGGTTGGACTAGATGGCCTATGTGGTCTCTCCCAACTCTATTTTCTAAGGTTTGATGGCTCTGGAAACCATTCCCAAATGAGGTCAGTATGTCACCACTCCTCAGTTTCCAGGAGGTCATGATGATTCTGCTACTTTGCTTAGCCTTTGGTTCTTACAATTAGAGATCTCTGCTCGGGATGCCTTTTTAAAACAGTGTTCATTATCTGGTTTTAAAACAATTTTGGAGTGTTTCTAATAGTTTTCAAAGTTACATATTTAATGTTTTAGGGGTTTGTAACCATAGTGCGTCACTTAAGGGACCACAGTGAATTGAGAAACAATCTCCTTGTGGAGAGAGAAAATGGGGTATAAAGAAACATAATAAACACAATAATAATAAGCAAATACCTTAATTGAAATAAGTAACATCCCCACCCTCTTCTTCCACCACAGTGCTCCAATCTGAGGACTAGCCCACTCATGCAGTGGTAGTCAGTGACTATGATTACCATGTAGCAGTGAATCAATTCCAGATTTCAGTCTGAGTTTTTCTTTTAGCTTTTAAAGGCACTATCCAATGTACTGAATCTATTATGGGGATGGGGTTTTGTACCTAGGATGGCTTCTTTATTCCAGATCAAAACCCAGAGTGAATTCACCACACTAATGAAATGGAAGACATCAATCCTGAATGTCTAAATCCCTTTCCACATTGTGAATGCCTTGCTCACCCCCTCTATTTCTGAACTCAGCTTTCAAACTTCTTTCCCCTTCTCCTCCCAGACCCGAGCATGCAACCTTCTGAAACTGAATTCCATTCCAATGTGATTTGTGCAAGAACTGTAACCATGGTCTGTATCCTAGAAACCTCCCATTCTTGCAATACACGTTCTTCTTTGAGCCACTTTACTCCACTTTACCATTTTGTAAATCTAGTTAGTATACTCAGCATTCTTTTGAATAGTATGAGTTAACTAATTTCCATTAAAGGTTTTACAATAAGTTTGTTATTCCTTGATGCAATTATTTTGAATGTTGATTCTTCTATTTTCGATAAAGAGTCAGTGTGCTTTAGTAATTTGAGTTCTGGGCTAAGACTCTAGGACAGTGGTTCCCAACCTGTGGGGCCCCAGGTGTTTTGGCCTACAACTCCAAGAAATCTCAGCCAGTTTACCAGCTGCTAGAATTTCTGGGAGTTGAAGGCCAAAACATCTGGGGACTCACAGGTCGAGAACCACTGCTTTCAGAGATCAGGGTGTATCTACACTGTAGAATTAATGTGGGTTGGCACCACTCCTGTAGTTTGAATCCATTGCTCTATGTCCTAGTCTCTGGAATGGCAGAAAACATACTTGCTTCCTCCTCCATATGATATCCTTTTAAATCCTCAAACATGTCTATCATGTCACCTCTTAACTTTCTGTTCTCCAGGCTAAACATGCCCAGCTCCCTAAGTCGCATTAAACAGGGCATGGTTTACAGACCTATTACCATTTAGTCACCCTCCTCTGGACACATTCCAGAGGCTTTTGGCATACTTGACAAGAAACTCCTATGACATGGCTGCCATAGGATGAATTGCCTTGAAGGCACAATCACAACAAGAAGTATTCAACACAATTCTCAAGAAAAAAACTATATGAGTTACTGGATTCAATCTTCCTAGACATACTACAGATAAGGTTCAGATATCTATCATACAGATGTATTGCAGTGATTGTTGAATTAAGATGATTGAGATTATAATTTCATTGGGGGCACATGTTGGAATAGCTCACAACCCCAAAATATACAGGAGAGCTCCCCCTGTATTTGTGTTATCCCCATTTGCTCCAAAAACCCCAAAGGCCACAATCATAATGTTAGCATATTTTCCATGTAGTCCTGGTGAACTGAAGGTTTTCATGGGAAATAACAGGAATATAACTGAACACGAGAAGCTAGAAGAGGCTGGACTACATCTCCCAAAACATTTCCATAAGCAGGACCATGGCCCATGCTGGCTGAGAGATTCTGGGAGTTAGAGACTTCAAAGAGTAACTATTCCAAACTCTGGAAAGAAATATGCCTAGAATGAGGGAGCTAATTCATGATGTACATAGATCAATAGCTTTTTTGCCTGGCCCATTCATAACCAAGAGTGTTCCTTATTTTGCCAGGCTCATTTCATCCTGTCACTTGGACAGTCACTCTAGATTATTGGTCCAGCAAATCTTCCAATCAATTCCCACTTCACACAGTCTAGCTGACAGGTTTTCTATCACAATAGCAATACTAATCCCTTCAACATTGCAAGTAGGAGCAGGATGCATATCCTTAACCCCAACAGGGTACTGCCATAAAAAAAAACACTGTTTGCAAGGCAAACAGTGCACGTGCATTTCAAAGGGATAGCTGAGGATAGGAACAATTGGAGGGCAAAAATTCCTTTCCTGCAAACCATGACAAGAAAACAAACATAGCTGAAATATACCTTTATGTCATAGCTTTTATTAAATAATACCAGTGGCAGTGTGAATTCTAGCAGCAAATACTGGCCTTCATTTTTTCCAGAGTTTCTGTGCCTCTATAGCAGCAGGAGAGACAGTAAGGCAATAGAGGCAGGGGGTCCTCAACACTGCATCTCCATGCTGCTTGGGGCTGAGCTTATTAAACTGCTGTCTGTCATGCGCTATAGAAAGGAATAGGAACCTTGGAGTATGGATATTAAAATTCCACTGAGGCACAATTGGTTTCCCACAGATCACTGCATGCTGTAGGGTTTGCTTGTGGTCTGCATGGTACTGTGGATGGAAACAACCTTGAATCTGTGAAAACTGAATGGCTGTCTAGTTGCCTATGAAAAGACAAGTGCAGTACAGGGTAATGATAAACAATGGGGGGTTGAATCAGCTTATAGATACAGTGAACAGATGAATGGGTAAAAGTGAAGCAGTGCTCTTCCATTCTGCATGCCTCAGCCTAGTTCCCCATACCACATTCAGTTTTTCCTGAAGTGCATTTCAGGAAATAGGAGCCCCCTGTAGCACAGTGGGTTAAACCGCTGAGCTGCTGAACTTGCTTACCGAAAGGTCGCATGTTCAAATCTGGAGAGTGGCGTGAACTCCCACTGTTAGCCCAAGCTTCTGCCAACCTAGCAGTTCAAAAACATGCTAATGTCAGTTAGATCAATTGGTGGGAAGGTAGCGATGCTCCATGCAGTCATGCTGGCCACATGCCCTTGGAGATGTCTACGGGCAATACCAGCCCTTCAGCTTAGAAATGGAGATGAGCACCAACCCCCAGAGTCAGACACATAATGTCAGGGGGAAAGCTTTACCCCTTATCTTATGGCAAGTAATGACAAGATAGACATGTTGTCTTGAGCATGAAAATGTAGTCACAGCAATAATACTCACCTGTCCACTACAAGGCCTGCAATATTTGTCCAGAGTTTTGGCTTGTTCTGCTGCATGAGCTTTAGTTCTGATCTAGGAAAAGAAGAATACAATTGAAATTATTATTATCTCAACAGCAGCTATAGATGCCTGCAGTTGACCAGCAAAGGCAGATATGCTTCCCATTGCTTTTACTGCCATATTTTGAAAAAAATTGGGGGTCAACAGATTTCTTCTTTCCCCACACAATACATACATATATCCCACCCACCACTGTTTGAAATACACAGGAAGAGACCACGTGGGCCATCCAGTCCAACCCCCTGCCAAGAAGCAGGAATAACTTGGGTGAATGAGTATTAAGATGGTCATTTTCCACTATTTCAGAGGAGAGTAGGAGATAATCTGTGGCCACACTAATGTACATTCTCTTTTCTTTTGCAGCAAGAGGAGAAAAGTAGAGGAATCCTATAGCAAGGCCTACTTTCTTCCTCTCTAGTGGACTTTCCTATCTTGCTTACCTCCCTGGAATGTTTGTCCTTGTTGTTCCAGTTGCACTTATTGAGTTGATATTTGCCCCTGGAATCCTGAATCAGGGAAACTCTGGAAGGGTTCTGAGAAGATATGTGTTCTTCATCAACCCTCCTTTCTTTCTTTATCAGCTCTTATTTGGGGTGGTTGTTGCTTCTACAAACAGCTTAAATTGTGCCACCACTTGCATAGCATTTTTTGGCCCCAAAAGCAACATCCGAAGTGGAGTACAATTATAATACAGTTACGTAATATTGTCACATTTACTCCTTGTTCTCTAAAAGTGAGTGACAGAACCCTCTGCTATCATTTTGCTATGTGACAACATTAAAAACCCAACTTCCCAAATTGTATGAAATATGCAACAGGCTTTCTTGATTGTTATTTTCCTTTTTATGGAAATGCACCTGTGTGATATGACTATTTTGGAGCAGCATGGGGAAAGAGGTAATGTTTAACTATTTCCCTTGAGCCATTTTGCTAATCGGAAGTGGCCGAAGCTCTCTTCTCTGACAACCAATAACCTGGAGATGGTGGCTTTGGTTACAAACATGGTGCAATGGAGAAGAATTCAATATCCTGTTGTCCCTACTCCTGATTTTAAGAAATTGAGAGTTTCTTGCAATTGCATTCCACGAAAAAGAACACTACAGAACACACATATTGGGAGATCCTATCACACATTTTCTGTGTAATGTATTTTTACCCTTTATAGAATCATAGAATCAAAGAATCGGAAGAGACCTCATGGGCCATCCAGTCCAACCCCCTGCCAAGAAGCAGGAATATTGCATTCAAATCACCCCTGACAGATGGCCATCCAGCCCCTGTTTAAAAGCTTCCAAAGAAGGAGCCTCCACCACACCCCGGGGCAGAGAGTTCCACTGCTGAACAGTCTCACAGTCGGGAAGCTCTTCCTCATGTTCAGATGGAATCTCCTTTACTTATATACTTATACTGCTACTCTGTCATGGACTGCTAAACAGTATTCCTATTTTCAAGCACAGTTATAAGAGTGGAATGGAAAAATGAGGAAAGCAGTTCAAATCACAAATTGATCCAATTGGAAGAAACACAAAGGGTCATCTAGTCCAGTCCAACCAATACTAGGAGATTATCTGGACTTCTCAATTTAGTTCAGCTTTCCCCACTAATTGTATGGACAATTCTCAACATAACTCACAATTTTACATATTGGCTGCGGCTGATGGAAACTATAGTCCAAAACACTTGATAACAATCACACTACATTCTAATGGGCGTTTATATGCTATTTGTTTTAATTAGAACACGTTACACATCATCAGATCACAGATAACCCAAGTAAGTATAAGACTCCACATAAGTCTGCATCTCTTCCTAACTCCAATGCCTCCCCCCCTTGCACCAGAGATAGTATCTCCCTCACATAAGGTTATCATTATATTATCTGCATTTTTCCTATTAATATAACATTGTGCTCTACTAATATGAAAAGCAAGCAATCCAATTCCATCATCAGTTAGCCTGAACAAAGTTGTCCTCTAGAAAATTAGTAAAGAAAATTTCTTCTCTAGGAGGTCCTTTGGGTTGATGGCTAGATCACCTAAACTTACTGAAAAGCACCCCCAGTGATGCAATGGGTTAAACCCTTGTGTCAGCAGGATTGCTGACTGAAAGGTTGACCGAATCCAAGGAGCAGGATGAGCTCCAGTCTGTCAGCTCCAGCTCCCCATGCGGAAACAAGAGAGAAGCTCCCACAGGATGGTAAAACATCCTGGCATCCCCTGGGCAACATCCTTGCAGACTGCCAATTCTCTCACACTAGAAGTGACTTGCAGTTTGTTTATTTATTTATTTGTTTGATTGTTTATAGTATTTATATTCCACCCTTCTCACCCCACAAGGGACTCAGGGCGGATTACAATGTACACATATATGTCAAACATTCAATGCCAAAGACACACAACAGATATAGACAAACAGTCAGAAGCTATTTAACTTTTTCTGGCTGCCAAGGGAGCTGTCGCTTTCATCATCCATCTGCAACACTGATGAAGTACTTCAGCATTCCCCGTATGCTTTTGCTGGAGTGCTTTGCGTGAGTCTTTTTTATGGCCTCATAAATTTTGTTAAATTAGCCTCCCCACACATAGGTGGTACCTAATTTTCGTACTTGACAGATGCAACTGTCTTTCGGGTTGCAAAGGTTGACAACAAGCTACACAATTGGTTGGAAGCTCACTCCAACCCGGGCTGGCTTCGAACTCATGACCTTGTAGTCAGAAGTGATCTTAATGCAGCTGACACTCAGACAGCTGCGCCACAGTCACGGTTTCTCAAGTTGTTCCTGACACATAAATACCCTGAAAGATACACTTGGGCTGGTTTGGTGTTCCTTGGTGGTGATTTACAATCAAACTTATCCTACTGTATTATTTATTAAAATCTAAGGCCTGAATGCACTTGCTAGTTCTGAGTAGACTCTGGGCTTTAATGACTTATCCAGGATGCTGCATTTGTTTTGGTGAGAGAGACCAGCACCTTGGATAGCTCCTTACAGTCTGGAATTATTTTTTTTAAAAGTCAGAATAAATGTACCACCACAGTGACAGAAGCTGCCAGTCTTCAGCTGAATGGTATGAACTACCCCTAGTTCTTCTGAAGAAAGCCTTTTCCCTATCTTACAATACATATGATGCCAATCTCATGACTCATACATATAGAATGTACAGATTTACGATGTTCTAGCCAGTGATGGAGAAAAATTAAGCAATATTATTTTCAGAGTTTCATAGAATTAGAAGAGACCCCATGGGCCATCCAGTCCAACCCCCTGCCAAGAAGATTTAGGATTTTTAAAATCCCTTGATATGGTTTTTTAAAAATCCCTTAATACAGTGGTTCTCAACCTGTGGGTCCCCAGGTGTTTTGGCCTACAACTCCCAGAAATCCCAGCCAGTTGAGAACCACTTCCTTAATATATATCAGTAGTTCCCAGTAGTTCCCAACCTTTGGGTGTTTTGGAATTCAGTTCCCATAGTTCCTAACAGCTGGTAAGCTGGCTGGGATTTCTGGGAGTTGAAGTCCAAAACACCTGGAGGCCCAAAGGCTGGGAACCACTGTATCAAATTCTGGACACTACAATTGAAGGGAGATGTTGACAAGCTGGAATGTGTCCAGAGGAGGGTGACTAAAATGATCAAGGGTCTAGAGAACAAGACCTATGAGGAGCGGCTTAATGAGCTGGGAATATTTAGCCTGAAAAAGAGAAGGATGAGAGGAGACATGATAGCCATGCATAAATATGTGAGAGGAAGTCAGAAGGAGGAGGGAGCAGGCTTGTTTTATGCTGCCCCAGAGGCTAGGACATGGAACAATGGCTTCAAACAACAAGAAAGGAGATTCCATCTGAACATTAGGAAGAACTTCCTGACTGTGAGAGCTGTTCAGCAATGGAACTCTCTGCCCCGGGGTATGGTGGAGGCTCCTTTTTTGGAGGCTTTTAAACAGAGGCTGGATGGCCATCTGTCGGGGGTGCTTTGAATGCGATTTTCCTGCTTCTTGGCAGGTGGTTGGACTAGATGGCCCATGAGGTCTCTTCCAACTCTATGATTCTATGATTCTATATGGTAGACCAGCCATCCCTAGGAAAACAGCTGCTATTTATCATAATGGCCTGGTTCCAAAGCACAGGACATGAGAAACATTTTCCAGAATCAAGAAAAAATTCAAAAATTATTTTGACTGATGAGACCAGCAACAAAATGTTGCATTTTAGTATGTTTCTGTTTAGAGTACCAATCAGAATGCCATGACTTTTTACAGGTTATTGTCTTCTATCCACTTCAACAGGCATGTAGCCGGGGGGGGGGGGGGGGGGGGCTTCAGCCCCCCCCCCCCCCCGAAATTCTCATGGTGGTCTGCGAGAAGGCCTTACTGGTACATTATTTAAACTGTTATGTTTATTCATATCATGATCTGATCACCATGCTCAATATATCCCATATGCATGGGGGTATTGGGGTAACGATACAAAAGGTTTGCTAGGGTAGACCTCTTTCACTCAGACTCAGCCCCCCCCCCCCCGAATCAAACTCAGCTCCACCCGAAACAAAATCCTGGCTACGGGCCTGCACTTCAATTTTTCCATATTTAAACCCAAGAAACAGCATTGTTTTCACTTGCTTAGCAAAAGGGATGAAAGCAATAAGGAGATTTCCTTCCTTAAAAGCAAGGGTTTGAACTCTGGTCTCCAGAATCGTCAAACCACTATACCACACGGGTTCTCACAATGGTGCTATTTTTTAGCTAAATAAACAACTCTCAAACAGCAAGAAACAAGAATGCATTATGGGATGATGTGGAAGAAGTAGAATCTGCCAGTGGGAAAATCCAAATAGGGATGCTAATATCTTGAAATGCGCCCAAACAACACCTTGCCCAGTGAGTTCTTGCTTTATGATAACATTCCACAGGCATTGAACAGTCTGAACAAAAAAAAATGAAAAAGAAGACTTCCATGACATTTCCTCATCATTCACCATTTCCAGCCAAACTCACAACAGGATGAAATTTGCAGGCAAGCAAGCTACGATGACCATTTCGCTGGCACAGCTCTCTACCCCACAGACAGTAATTAGCCCAGTTCCCAGCTGGTGGAAATTACAAGATTTGATTGCAGCTCTACATAAGTGCCCCAAATAGCTGAGGACTCAGCCAAGTAATTTATCTCAGGGTGCTAGAACTGATTGAAAATGCAAAGCAGATACAGATCCTGAATGGGATCAAGAGAGATCACTGCATGCAGACTGCAATTCTAAACAAAAGGCATCAGTGTATTGTCAAAGGCTTTCATGGTCGGAATCACTGGGTTGTTGTGAGTTTTCCGGGCTGTATGGCCATGTTCCAGAAGCACTCTCTTCTGATGTTTCGCCTGCATCTATGACAGGCATCCTCAGAGGTTGTGAGGTCTATTGGAAATTGTAAAGTTAAAGGTAAAGGTTTTCCCCTGACATTAAGTCCAATCGTGTCCGACTCTGGGGGTTGGTGCTCATCTCCATATCTAAGCAAAAGAGCTGGTGTTATCCGTAGACACCTCCAAGGTCATGTGGCTGGCATAACTGCATGGAGTGTCATCACCTTCCTGGCAGAGCGGTACCTATTGATCTACTCACATTTGCATGTTTTCAAACTGCTAGGTTGGCAGAAACTGGGGCTGACCTCGGAAGCACACACCGCTCCCCGGATTTGAACCTGCGACCTTTCGGTCAACAAGTTTTGCAGTGGTTTAAACCACTGCACCACCCCATTTTCCTAGTTTCCAACAGACCTCACAACCTCTGAGGAGGCCTGCCATAGATGCAGGTGAAACGTCAGGAGAGAATGCTTCTGGAACATGGTCATACAACCTGGAAAACTCACAATAACTCAAAAGGCATCAAACCATATGCTGATGAGTTGAATCTCAGATCACTGCGGTGAAGTAATCAACCTTTCCATCACTACTACATATTTTAAAACATACTGATTCTATGAAGTCTGCCTTTATCTGTCGATCACTTTGCTTTTCAAATATTTACATATTCTCACAGATGTAGTCAGTCTACCTTGTTGAATCATAACATCACAGCTGGTATGGTTCACTAACCTGCAACGCTTAAGGTCTGGCTGATTTTGAAAGGAAATAGCAAGTAACTTTACTCTGAATCTAAAATAAAAACCAGGAGTGAATGTCATTATAAATATGATGGAAAAGCAAGTTAAAATGCTTTAAAACAAAAAAGAAAATTTAAATTCCACATGGTTGCATGTCAAATGTTTCAACAGACACCTCATAGAGGTTGGGTTTAAAATCAGTGATGGTCTCATGTTGCTGATACATCCATATATATCTTAGGAAGAGCAATGCTTCCTACAGTAGCAAACAGCTCACCTGTGTCTTCCCTGATACTCTACAGCCTCAGGTGTGTAGATGGCAGAAGATGAGCATATATTCCCAGATGGTTTAAGTTCTTCTCAGCCCCATACTTTGCGGCTCATTGGTGTTTATTTCCCTAGATTGGCATCCTCTTAAAACGTTTTGGGTCTTCTTCTCCTTCAGTGCCACACATGCTTTGAAATGAATGGTCCTGTTGCATAAAACTAGGTCATGCACCATGAATTAATAAAGGTTTCGTCCTGAAGGAAGCTGGGGATGGTGCCATCTTTGATTTGCCTAGGTGGTGATGTGGTACAATGAGTAAGGATTCATTCCCAGTCTCAAATATTGGGGTATCAAATAGTAAAAGAGATTCAGGAACCTGAAGTTGCTGGTGTTTTTTGTGGAACAGGTGTTTTTTTTTCTATCGAAACATGAGGAACGACTGATATTCTCTCTCATCTTCGTGATTTGGCTGGCACCAGGACACCGAGAATATTGCACGTCCAAAAATGATGCACACCGAATAGCACTCAGTAGTTTCCACAGTTAAATCTCTCTGGGATTACTGCCGCGCGTATGTAAGTGTGCGAGTGTGTGATTTATCGGAGCAGAGGCTTTTCTGTGGAACCACAGAAGTTGGAACCATCTGGAATGGTTGCTATGGAAACAGCACAGGAGTGGGGGAGGGAGAGACCGGATGCCATGGCAACCTCTGGGAGTTTCCCAGGAAACCAAATTGCTATGGAAACTGCATCACTCAGGTCCAAATTAGTAACTTCCGCTGCAAGGCGGGTGCATTTGCCACTTTAATCTTCTTGCGATAGATGCAACCGCTTATCTTGCATGCATTGGCAATGGATGGAAACATCCCTTTTGTTACTAGGGTTTCCAGTGGAGGCTGCAGTCTCTGCCAAGAGCCCATTGGAGATTTACTAGGAGCGGAGCAATTCACGATACGCGGAGTGCTAAACACTCAGGGCACGTTCCGGACAATCCACTGTCCATTGTACTATGGGGAGAGAGATCTTCCACTATACCATGCAGGTAAATTTTCAGGCTCAGGAAAGCAATTATTTGGTCTTGTGGCCCAAAGATACCCCAAACCACAATGGAGGTTTTTGTTCTTGTTCCATCTAAATGATTACACAAATGACCTGGGCAGATGGCACACAGACTCTAACTTGACATAAAGAAACCTGGACTGCACTCTCACATACCACACATTAGATGTTTCAACAATAGGCATCATTGTAGAACAGGATGGCAGAGATGCGCTGTGGCATTAAAATCATCACGTATATTTTTTTTCTTCACTGTCGGCAAGATGGTGACGTTCACTTTGCTGTCACTTCCTAACTTTCAGTCCAACAAGTGCAGCCAGGCAAGGAACATAAAATCAGCAACGGAACTGTTCTTTGCAAAATCAGACAACAAAGCACGTTCCCTGACAACAACAACAAAAAAATCCCCAAAGCCCCGCATCAAACAGCGCAGAACAAAAACCTGTTCCTGGAGGGAGCGGCACGCACGTACGTACGTCTTTGAATCCTCTTATCTGTCTCCTTTCTTCACATCTGCTTGGTTCGTTTACCTTCCCCAAATCCCCATCTTCGGAAGGAAGGACGAGAAAAGTACACACATGAAACAAGAGCACAAAGACGGATGGTGGTGCATGTTCCTCACAACAACGATTATGCAGACCCTCTTGTATATATGTGTGTGTGTGTGTTTATATATATTTATATATTTATATCGCCTTGAAGGGTCTCTTAAACATCTGTGAAGATCTTTTTAATATTCACACAGTTGGGATTGTTTACGGCCGTGCAGTTGCCCGTCTTAAAGGCAGCCTGTTTGAATGCACTGTTGCTGATGCCTCCCTCTTCGATCACCATGTACTCGGACTTGCTGATTGTGGAATTGCTGCGAGCTTTTCTCAGCTCCTCGGTGGAGGAGAGATGCTGGCAGCTTCCTACATGCATGTACTGGGCTTGTTCTTCACCTTCTGTTTCCCGGTGATAGAAGTAATTGAAGTTGGAGACAATCACAGGCACAGGCAAGGCAATGGTCAGCACCCCAGCTATGGCACAGAGAGACCCGACTATTTTGCCCCCAATTGTGATCGGGTGCATGTCCCCATAACCCACGGTAGTCATGGTCACTACAGCCCACCAAAAGGCATCAGGGATACTACTGAAACTCGAGTTAGGATCATCAGCCTCCGCAAAGTAGACCGCGCTAGAAAAAAGGATAACTCCAATGAAGAGGAAGAAAATGAGCAAGCCCAGCTCTCGCATGCTGGCCTTGAGGGTCTGCCCCAAGATCTGCAGCCCCTTGGAGTGCCGAGAGAGCTTGAATATACGGAAGACTCTAACTAGCCGGATGACTCTGAGGATGGCAAGGGACATGGCTTGCTGGCCATTCCCTTGCCGCTCGGCCAGCTCAGTCCCCAAAGTGATGAAATAAGGTATAATGGCCACAATGTCAATGATGTTCATAATGTTCTTGGAGAAGGTGGGCTTGCTGGGACAGGCAAAGAAGCGGACAAGCAGCTCAAAGGAGAACCAGATAATGCACAGCGTCTCCACCACGAAAAAGGGATCAGTGAAAGAGGACACTATGGAGGTTGCAGGGGAAGAAGAATTCGTGAAAACGTCTGCCACGAAGGGGCCCACGCCCGTTCCAAACGTCCCTGCAATGGTATCATAGTCACGGTCATCTCTGAACTCGGGCAAGGTCTCCAGGCAGAAAATGACAATGGAGATGAGGATCACTAAGACCGAGACAATGGCGATGCCCCGCGCCGGTCCAGAACTTTCCGGATACTCAAAGAGAAGCCACACCTGGCGCTGGAACTCCTTCTCGGGCAGAGGCCGCTGCTCCTCACGGATGAAGCCCTCATCTTCCCGAAATTTCTCCATGGCCTCCTCACCCAACTGGTAAAAGCGGATCTCTTCAGAGAAGATGTCGATAGGCACGTTCACCGGTCGCCGGATGCGGCCGCCGGACTGGTAGTAGTAGAGGATGGCATCGAAGCTGGGCCGGTTGCGGTCGAAGAAGTACTCGTTGCGCAGGGGGTCGAAGTAGCGCATCCTCTTGCGGGGGTCGCCCAGGAGGGTCTCGGGGAACTGGGCTAGCGTCTTGAGCTGGGTCTCGAAGCGCAGGCCGGAGATGTTGATGACCACCCGCTCGCAGCATTCGTGCTCACCTCCTCCTCCGCTGCCCAACATGAGGTGGTGGCCGGCGGGGGGCAGGGCGTGGACCCCCGGGTGCTCGTAGCGCTCGCCTCCCAGCAGGGCCTGGGGGTGCTGGGTGTCGTCCAGGAGGGGGTCCTCTCCCCCCACCACCGTCATGCCCCCCTCCAGCTCCTCTGCCGCTTCCTCTTCCTCCTCTTCTTCCTCTTCCCCCTCCTCCTGCCCTTCCTGCTGGAGGGCGCCCTCGGGGAAGGGCTGCTCACTGTAGCCCAGGTTGTGGTGGCTGCTGGCCCCGACGACGCCGTTCCCGCCGCCCCGGGGCTGCCTGCCAGAGGACGGGGCGGCCGGCGAGCGCAGGAGGCTCCGCTGCTCGTCCATCCACGGGGCGCGGCGGGAGCCGAGGGGAGACGCGCTCTCCCCAGACGGCTCCGCCCGGCTCTGCCACCGCCGTCGCGCGGAGGAGTCCGCCCTCGCCGCTCACGGGCTCCTCCCGCCGGAGCCACACGGAGACAGCCAAGCAGCAGCCAGCCAGCCAGCCAGGCGGGGAAGGAAGGAAGGAAGGAAGGGGCTTCTTCACCCGCACGCCGCCGCTGATGATGATGAAGGGGAACCGCCTGTTGTTGTCGCCGCCGCCGCCGCCGCCACTGGAGAAGGACAGCGAGAGAGAGAGAGTCAGGCGGGAGGAGAAGGAAGAGGAGGAAGAGGAAGGGGGAAAGAGAAGAGGAAGGAGCAGAGCAGAAGCCCCCCAGGGCCCAGGCGACCAGGCGGACGGGGAGGCAGCGCTCCAGAATCCTCCGCTAGAGTCCCTGCCTCGCCAGACGCGTTTCTGGCGAGGATTTGAGCCAACAGAGAAGAGGAGGTCGCAGCCAACTAGAAAGGATAAGGAGCTCAGCCAACTAGAGAAGATTAGGGTCCTAACCTACTACAGAAGATGAGGATCTTGGCCAGCTAGAGAAGATTAGCATCCCAACCAACTAGAGAAGATGAGGATCTCAGCCAACTAGAGTAGATTAGGACCCCAAACAACTAGAGAAGGTAAAGATCTTGGCCAACTAGAGAAGATTAGGATCCCAAACAACTAGAGAAGGTGGGGATCTTAGCCAGCTAGATAAGATTAGGATCCCAACTAACTAGAGAAGATGAGGATCTCAGCCAACTAGAGTAGATTAGGACCCCAAACAACTAGAGAAGATGAGGATCTTGGCCAACTAGAGAAGATTAAGAACCCAACCAACTAGAGAAGATGAGGATCTTGCCCAGCTAGATAAGATTAGGATCCCAAACTACTACAGAATATGAGGATCTTGGTGCGCTAGATAAGATTGGGATCCCAACCAACTAGAGAAGATGAGGATCATGGCCAACTAGAGTAAATTAGGACCAACAACTAGAGGATGTGAGGATCTCGACCAACTAGAGAAGATTAGGACCCCAAACAACTAGAGAAGGCAAGGGATTTGACCAACTAGATAAGATTAGGATCCCAAAAAACAACAGAAGATGAGCATCTCGGCCAACTAGAGTAGATTAGGACCCCAAACAACTAGAGAAGGTGAGGATCCCAACTTACTAGAGATGAGGATCTCAGCCAACTAGAAAGGATTACGATCCCGAACAACTAGAGAAGGTGAGGATCTCGGCTAACTAGAGAATATGATTATCCCGACTTACTAGAGAAGACAAGGACCTTGGCCAACTAGAGAAGATTAGGATTTTTTAAATTATTTATTAATTACCATATTTATACCCCACCCTTCTCACCCCAAAGGGGACTCAAAGCGGATTTACACATAGGCAACAATTCAATGGCATAAAAGCCACATACAATTAAAATAAATAATTACATTAAAACAAATAATTAAAACATCAAAATATTACACCAACTATTAAAACCATGTAATCCATGATCATAATTCAGTCATTCCAGTACTCATTGCACATATTTCATATCCATTTCTTGCACCATGATTATTATTCAAAGGCTCGGTCCCATAGCCATGTTTTCACTTTCTTCCTGAAGGCCAGGAGGGAGGGAGCTAATCTAATATCACTGGAAAGGGAGTTCCACAGCCAAGGGGCCACCACTGACAAGGCCCTGTCTCTCATCCCCCATCAACCACACCTGTGAAGGAGGTGGGACCGAGAGCAGGGCCTCCCTAGAAGATCTTAATCTCCACAATGGTTCATAGAGGGAGATACGGGTAAGCTGGGCTGGATCCCAACCAACTACAGAAGATGAGGATCTTGGCCAACTAGAGAAGAAAAGGATTCCAACCAACCATAGAAAAGGAGCATCTCAACTAATGAGAGAAGCAGATCTCAGCCAACTAGAGAAGATTAAGATCCCAACCAAATAGAAAAGTTGAGATTTCCACCATCTAGAGAAGAAAAGGATTCCAACCAACTATAGAAGAGAAGCATCTCAACCAGAGAAGATGAGGATGCAGAACTACAATTATATGGGTCCCTGTAAAGGAATGAAGCTCATATTTCAAGCCTGAACCTCTAGCATTCTTTTGGTACACTCTACAATAAGAAACAATCACTTTAAGCAAAAAAAGAAAAAAAAAGAAGAAGCTTTAGGTGGAGGAGGGTCCTGTCCTCTTTTCATGCTACACTAGGGGTGTCACATAAATTAAGGAGTTGTCTTCTTCTCAAAAGTTCTTCATCCTCTTTTTCAAGGGCTGATCAACAGGGCTGTAATTCACACCAGCATTTGGCAGGAATGTGTTTTTGCAAACTGTTGCCTGGTCAATAATATGTTTGTTGTTTATTTGTTCAGTCACTTCCAACTCTTTGTGAGCTCACGGACCAGCCCACCCCAGAGCTCTCTGTCGGCTGTTGCCACCCCCAGCTCCTTCAAGGTCAAACCGGTCACTTCAAGTATGACATCCATCCATCTTGCCCTTGGCTGGCCACTCTTCCTTTTCCCCCAGCATCAATTATTATTATTATTGATTATTATTAATATTTTATTAATAAGCTTTATTTGTACCCCACCTCATCTCCCTAGAGGGACTCAGGGCAGCTTACAATCAGACAAAAAACATAGGTAGTATATTAAAAAAATAATCATGTATTAGTTAATAAAAACAAAATAGCACAGCAATATATGCATAAATAAACAACCAATTAGAAACACTGTAAAATTCTATAAAATATTATATAGTGCCATTGAAAACCATTCCTATCATTAGAGGAGCCCCAGATCAGTGTTATAATAGCCGTTTAGTGAAACAAACGTCCACCAAGGAAGGCAAAAAGCAGCCCAGGGGGTTTCTGCCCCACTTTATTTCAATCCAAGTTTTGGTGGGTTGCACTTCCTGAGCTTTTCCTGCACTGGGGGCTTCAAGATGCTTGACAAAAGTGTGGGCTGGCTCTGTCCTTAGGAAATCGAAGGGTGAAGAATGAATGCAGTTGGACACCACTTTCACTGCCCTGGATCAATGTTATGGAATCAAGGGAACTGTAGTCTTACACAGCCTTCAACCCCTTCTGACCACTATGGCAGTTAAAGTGGTGTCAAACTGTATTCATTCTACTATGTAGATCAGGCATGGGCAAACTTTGTCCCTCTGGGTGTTTTGGACTTCACCTTCCACAATTCCTGGTGTACATAATACCAAACTATCCACTAGAAACTTTAAGAGTTCAGTGAGCCAAAATTTAATTGAAGCTGTACACACGAAAACCATTGGTATTAATAAATAAATGAACAGATTCAAAGTGTGTGCAAGAATTCATATCTGAAGTGGCTAAAATAGTTTAAACATGGGCCACAATTCAGAGACTGATCACTTTTTGCGTGTTAGAAGTCCCCAATTCCATTCTTCATATATCCAGATGGAGCTAGGACAGAGCTCCCACTTCCACAAACAGCTATTGTTCCCACTGAGCAGGAGACACCCATGTCCTTCCCTCTGCTGACATTGCAGGTTATAGTGAGTGCCATGAATATCTAGCCCAAACCCTGCCAGTGTCCTCCATAAACACCATACTGCCCCCAACCCAAGTGAAGGCTTTCATGCAGGGACAATTTCATCCTAGATGTTCTGTTTTTCGTCCACATCCCATGGTTCCTATCTCTCTCCATTGCTGTGGAATTTGCATGATCCCACCCACTGCCTCTCCATTAACCCTTTCCTACCCTTTGCTATGGCACACAACAAACAGAGGAATTGATCAGCAACTGAACAAGAAGTTTGGGGAAAATTCACCAAGATTTACAGGAGTTGTACTTGACCTACATCCAGAGAGCACTGTTAACCCAACCAACGATGGATCTGGATCAAACTTGCAATTGATAATAGGAGTTGCAGTACCTTCACTGATTCTGTGATCCCCACCGACAACTGACTGGGACCAAACTTGGCACAGAGAAGCCCCATGACCAACTGAACATACTGCAGGGGTTTGGGGGAATGGGTATTGACTTTGGGAATTGTAGTTCACTTGCATCCAGAAAGCACTGAACCCAGCCAACATCAGATCTGGACCAAACTTCGCACACAGACTCAACATGGCCCACTGTGCATACAAGCCTGGTTTGGAAGTGATTGACCTTGGATCTGAGATTTGTAGTTCACCTTTATCCAGAGAGGGCTGAATCCAGCCAACAATGGATCTGGACAAACATGATACACAGACCCAACATGGCCAACTGTGAATACTGTCAGGGTTTGGGGGTGATTTCCCTGGGGATCTGGAAATTGTAGTTCACCCTTATCCAGAGAGCACTGAACCTAGCCACTGACAGATCTGGACCATCCCAAAACAAACAATGTCTTCTTCTAATAACCCAGGCACTGCCATATCCCCGAGCTAATAATATATAAATGAAATATTTTCATGAGATATGTTGTTACCAATACATTTTGTTATTACAATTTATGTATGTATCCAGATCTCTCAGAAAAGATTGATTTCACTTCCAGTTTGCTAATAAAACTGAATGGCTATGTCATGAAATCATGCATGTCTACAAAGCATGTCACCAACAGGAAATGTTGGGAAAGCTCTACTCTGGAATCTTAGTAATATATGGAGCCAGGGCAAGTATATAATTCTGAATTAGTTAGACAATTCATATGATTGTATGCACACACTGCAGCTGCAGCTGTGGCAAATGTTCTTTTAACAGCAATGAGCTTCTCTTGAGAAATTTTGGTCGCACGCATACAATATGCATGCATAATATCAAATATATATGCGTGAACCTCTTTACTTTATGTCATGGGAAACAGGGCTCATATGCAAGTGAGTATTTTTATTCTACATTCTCTAATTCCTCTCCCTCCCCATGTTTTTGTATAGTGGAATATTTCAGTGGTTGTTAAAAATAATTTTACACAAAACACTTCCTCCACTGTCATCCCTCCTCCACAGTACTGCTTTGCACATTTTCAATAATTGCAAAAAGATGCCAGGAGGAGTGGAGAAAGCACAACGACAACACAAGAAATAAGAGCAAGTTGCATATGAGTCAGCAGTGTGATGTGGCTGCAAAAAGGGCTAATGTGATTTTAGGCTGCATTAATTGAGCTAAAGCTTCAAAATGACAGGAAATATTTTGCTTTATTTCCCATTAGTCAGAGCTCAGTATTTTGTCTCTTTGTAGATTCTGCTCTTTAAAAAAGATGCAAATAGACTGGAATTCAGAAGAGG